GATCGCAAAGACACACACACACACACATACACACACCAGGCAAATTATCCAACATTCCTGATCCCAAGCCAGCGTTCGAGATTTGGCAGAACAAAGCTGAATCCGGAGCAGAGTTCTTCCATAGATTTGCCTCAGGTTATTCATGAGGTCACCGGGGTGTTCTGCAGTTAGTAATAACCGAAATAGTTAAATTAGTAGCTGTTCCGTCTTCGGTTTTGGAAGCACTCGCCAGACGTGTCCAAACCAGAAACCATTGCAACGGCGACTTCTCAATCTGGTGAAGGCCATTAGAGCACACGTTATGTTCATTAGTTAATTAGCACATAACTCCTTCAGGACCAGAGTTCGCGACCCCTAGCGGGCCGGTTACGCAAGTCACGGCACCATAGTACCTGAAGACCCGCGGCGCCACACAACTCGCGTGATTTAATCCGCCAGAGCCACCTCGCGCTGACTAAGAACGAGCCACCTCACAAACTGGCACTCATTATATGCTGCCCTCATCGAAACGTCGAGACGTGTTCGGACGCGGAAGTATGTTAAATAGTGCATAGTTGCTCCAAGACACGATTTGACGACCGGCTTCGAACGCAACACAACGACGTGGAAGATATGAAGCTTCATATGCAGAGAAAGTACGATCTTTCGAGAGCAAACAAGCAAGACGGGTGACACAGACCATCGTCAAAGTGGGAAGACGATGACGGCGGCTGTAGTCTCATACAATCGTCTGATTTACGATTCCTCATTAATAAACCACCTCTCGCGTCGATCTTTGAACACAACAACCTTCACTTTTTACCATCTCCACCGCTTGATGTTTTCATATGACCTTCTGTCACTCACAGTCTTTCGATACACCGCTTCTGCGACGTGTTCAATCGCGGCAGTAGCGTAAAAAATTAGCGGAACTAAGTAAGTGACATAAAAATGAGAAATGTCATTACAAGGGAAAGGCAAGCGCCTGACACGGAAGTCGGGGTCGACATTCAGGTCTTGCGTGCATCGTTCTGCCGACTCGTCGTCCTGAATGACGGAACGTGATAGCGACCTCACGATTGAAATTATTACATCTTGCTCTAATTATTAATTACTAATTGTCACTGGATAATCAGCTGTCAGGCGGGTGTAGACAGAATTCATTCACAAAGGGCACTCGCATGGAACACAATGCCCTGCATCTAGCATTCCGGTATGAACAGACCAGAATAACATGCTGTTCCATTTTTTGCAAGTTACTGTTTTACTACTCATTCCTCAACTTGTTGAGCGGAAGCAACGCGAGGTCCATTCCTTCCTCAGATTTCGCGTTGGTTACATAAATTGTCCCTGAGCGCATTAGAACCCAGCAGCTCCAGAGTTCAAGGTTAACCCCTTAGCCACCACGTCCCTACGACAACCTATGAACAACCTGCATTCCGCCTTTCCTGGAAAAACCATAAAAGGTTGAACCGGATTCGAACGCTAGATGGACGATATGGTCAAGTATTTCACAAGCACGGTTTTAAAGAATCGCCGATTTGTGGCCATGAGGTACGTCATCAGAAAATTTGTTGCACATAACAGAGCTGTCCTTCAGAGAAAATATCTCGACTGTCCTTGCAGCAATGCCAAAAGTTATGAAAACATCTAATTGAAACCAAGCTACAACCGATGCTGTCCAAGCATCATACGCAAGTACGAGAAAGGAAATACTTGAGGCGCACAAGTAAGGAGCATGAGTTGAATGACAGGCGATTGTCAAGGTCAAGATCTGGAGGAAACTATTCTAATTCACCCCTTAGTTCGTACCCTCATAAACGTAATAATCATCGGATTTAATCATGTGAACTTTAATAATCAGTGTAAATTATGGCACCCGATTATTCCGTTTGGATGATAATCCGCATAACATCATTCCTGGTGATGATCATGCTACCAACCTTGTAAAGATGGATTACAGTGTTTTCGAGCAGCTGCATTGGCTAGGCGATGGGTATTTCATACTATAATTTGCTTTGGTATTGGCATTCCGCAAGGGTCAGCGACAAGAGCGCCGCGTACGTAAAAACGTTTTAAATTCTTGAAAAAATTCACTGCAATTCAAATTTATCACTTTATAAATTCCATTAATACATATATGCAGATTTCGACGATTACATAATCACCTTAAGTATGAAAATACGTCGAAAGTATCACGTCATGTTCGATTTCACGCGAAAACGTCAGTGTTGCTAGATCATCGAATGTCGAACCCGAAGCTTCCAGGTGTTTGTTGACAAATAAAATCTGCCTTGATTTTGGTACTAAAGAGTTTCTAGGTCCAAGAACGCAACGAATTCTTTTGACCTTTATCCTGCGTTGATTATCATATCATATTTCAACTTTCCTCGACCCGAAAGGAGAAACGGTCATGGAAGATGAAGAAGAAAACATGAAGATGAAGAAGATTTCGGGTGTCAGGTGACTGAATACGAACTGCAGTCCTAAGAGCGGCACACATCACACAGTACCGCCTTGCTTCTCGCCTTTTCTGGTACGGCATCACCGGAACTTCATGCTGTCCTCGTTGGTCACAGTTCAACGACCTGCTGCTCATGGGTCGGTTGGTGGCACCAAAACGACAACAATTTACACTTGTGCTTGTTCGCAATTAGCGGAAATCACCATTACCAAGTCTCGATGCCCATGATCGGGAGTTTTGTGCGATTTTTAGCTCCGAACATCCACATGTCCCTTTCAGTTTATCGTCCCATCGGAGCCGAAGACGTACAGTATGACGTTTATAGCTTCTTCAGTACAAATCCGTCACTGTTTAAGTCCATTGGTCGTTCGCCGTAGTTCTGCTCGAGCTGCAGACAGAGGGACATTCGCTAGGGCTTTCCATTCCATTCGATCGGTGCAAATGGTTTTGGTTGGTGTCAGCACTTGTCAGGCAACCAGGCAACTTGCACGTCCGTTTACTTTCCGTGCACGCCCGTCACTGTAGCTCGGTGAGGCTTGGCTCGCTCTGAGGTTTCTCCTCTGAACTGCCGTGCAGCCACTGCTTCTCCTCATATGGAGCGGTTCTTCAAATGGCGGAAGAATTCCTTGCTCATTGAACTCTTCTTCTCCTTAGAAATTTTTTTTGGAAATCAAACGTAGCGTCTCCGAATTCAAATCCAACCGTTTATCACTGTGCTTGTATACAAGTTTATATGATGCAACGCTAACAAGATGGATTTCTGAGATCTTGCCCGCGAAAGCGACTCAGGTTTTGTTCCATTTATTGACATCCCCTGTCAGGCATTCTTTAAATCCTTCTGTCATCTTGCCATGAGTCAGCTTTTCCTTTTTCCTACAAGTTAGATATTATAATCCAAAAGCTTGGCGATAAAGTATATATGATTCCGTCCCTCCATCTTTACGGTCTCGACAACTTTAAGATAAGTTGTAAAATTTTGGGGTTAACACTGCTGCATATGAAAGCGCCCCCATTAAATTATCAATTCGTTCGATGCTTCAGCGTTCTGGATCCACGATCATCAACTTGAGACTTTCTGACATCACATATTGCACGACATGATAATATAATATATAATATTCTTCCCCTTCTGGCATGGATATTGATGAGATCATTAAAATAAGAAGCAAAAATAAAAGAAGGAATTTATTAGGGTTGAAAACATAATGGCTGTTAACACTTAATTGTAGTTTCGTGCTTGTCATTCATATTTATGTATCAGTATTTGTATATATCGATTTTCAGGATGACCTGTTTTTTTCCCAGTTGCAAGGAAGCAACTCTGCTTCCTTTTCAGCCAGGTAAGCTCAACTGACTTACTTTAACTTACTCTAGCCATACGATCGTCAGTCCTGATCATCGGCCGTCTTTCGCGAAGCTGTGCTAAGAAAATTCGTTTAACAAATCGCTCATTGATCACATCAAGACTCCACTGCAAACATCCAGTAAAGATAAACAGAGAGTATTCATCACCTGAACGAAAAGAACTGAAGGTCTGGAATTTCGAAGGAATAAGATCAGAGTTCTGAGGAAAAATTCTAATGAACTAACTCACCTTGAGTATAAGGTCTAAACTCGTTTTGGTTTTTCCTACACCGCAAAGTAACTACCTCATGTATGATGCCTACTACCAGTTAAAAAAAAGACTTCCAACAAACTGAATGCTTAATAATATTTCACTTTTCAAAGAGATATCCCAGAAAGATGTGAAGTAATGAGAATTTCGCACCCGGGGTCTAACCCAAAAAGCCGTCAAAATGTTGATCCTGATCTTTGAGCCAGTCGAAAGATATCTCTGGGTATTTGATTTGCTACAAGACCGGAAAACACCGAGAATGTTCCGATATAAGAAGCATTTTTCCGGCAAAAGCCAAAAGGCACTGAACGTCCTCTACAGGGGTCTGCTATAAGAGTTAAAACGGCTGTAAGTCTACATGGAGAGGGACGACCTACTAGAAAGTGAGCGTCGAATAAAAAACACTTATTTGCAGTCTGCCATGCCTGAGACAGCTTAATTGCCTCATTCAAGCGGGCGTCTCCATAATTGACAGAGGCTACTAAACACTTAGTCTTCTGGTAAAGTTGCCCATTAATGTTTTGGAACGAAAGCATCAGATACGCAATGAATGCTCTTGTTCCGTTATGATAGGAAAAAGCCTTGACACCGGTACCCGTAAAGACGTCATCATTGATCACATATGTCACTCACACCTTTGATGCTTCCGTTCATTTCATTTTGGACCTACTTTCAATTTCATGCT